AAAAAAATATTTCACTTTTTTTGTCAATGTCATCAATTTTGACGATCTCAAAGGCCCTGTAAAGGCCAAAACAAAAGACGAAACCACAGGAAACCGCAAAATCAACAACCATAGATAAGATCAACAACGCCTTAACGACGGTAGTTTTCGCTCAGTATTTTTGCGGAAATAATAGATTTTCACTAGATTTCTCCCCGTTCTCCCCAAAGAAATGATTTCGGAAAGTGAAGATGAAGCGATGGATTGTACCCCACCTGAATTAAAAGAAGCAGCAGACAGGATTGGAGAGAGTTTGCTTCCAGCAAAAAGCAAATTTCGGTACGAAAAGGCTTTTCAAATATTCGAAGCATGGTGTAGCCAGAAAGGAACGAGAAATACTGCCTCGGAGACCGTTTTGTTGGCGTATTTTGGCGAATTATCTAAGGAAAAGAAGCCTTCGACTTTATGGTCGACTTACAGTATGTTGAAAACCATGATTAAATTGAAAGAGAAAGTTGATATCTCCAATTACGCAAAACTTATAGCTTTTTTGAAGCGGCAAAATCTGGGCTTTCAGCCGAAAAAGTCGAGCGTTTTTTCCAGAGAAAACATTAACGAGTTCCTCACGAAGGCAGCTGAAGAATTCATTAGCATCAAGGTAGGTTTTCAAAAAATATACAAAGAAGATAAAAATGCGAAAATCAAAATGATTTTCTGTATGCTATAGCTAGGTTACCCATTTTATTTTTATCTGGTTTCAGGTAGCGCTAATTGTTGGTGTGTCGGGTGCATGTAGGAGCGATGAACTAGTCAAGATGAAAATGGAGCACGTCAACGTTTTGGAAGGAAAGATCGCTATAGAAATTCCACACACAAAAACTTACACAAGTCGATCGTTTATCATAAGCGATCCAGATTGGGTTGCTATTTTCCACAAATACCTCACTTTGCGGAAAAATTTGAAAAATGACAGGTTATTTGTTCAATGGCGAAATGGGAAATTACATAACCAAGCAATTGGCTATCATTCAATCTCAAAATTTCCACATAAAATAGCTGCTTTTTTGAAGCTTCCAAAAATTGAAACTTTTACAGGGCATGCTTTTCGTCGTACTTCCGCAACCTTATTGGTTGACAACGGGGCCGATCTATTGCAACTCAAAAGACTGGGAGGGTGGAAATCGAGCACGGTTGCTGAAGGCTACATAGAGGCATCTTTGGAGAACAAAAGTAAGACTGCTCTGATGCTATCCTCTACTTCCAAAGGTATTCAGTTGTCCAGTGCATCCACAAGTACATCACATGCGGAAACTCATCCGCAAGCGCAAGAGATAATAGTTCCAAACGAAACACAATTCCAACAGGATGGTCTCAAGATTTCCATTATAAACAACAATGCTAATTTAACAATTAATGTAAATAAGTGAATAGATTTAATTAGTTCCATGTAATACATGTGGTTTTATTATTATATGTGAGAGCTGTATGAAAATTATCAATTTGGAACGAGCAGGGAAATGGGGACGGAAAAGCATTTGCCGTCCCGGACGGAAAATGCTTTTCCGTCCTAGGCAGGCATATGCATTACCGTCCCGATAAATGTCAAAGTCCAGAAATGTGACACTTTCAAGATTTTGAAAAACCTGCAATGTCAACATTACATATGTGGTTGAAAATAAAAACTTTTTACAAGTCAGTAGGGTCAGAGAATTATTTATTTAAATTGTATTACCTATATGTATTAATTTTTTATTTATTGCTTAAGATTGTTTACAAATGAGTACCAAATAAATTATTGTACATCATACGCCAGGTATCAGTTTTTACTGGCTCTTGAAGGTGACAAGCTCGCCTGACGGCTCGCTAGTCATTTCCTTCAATCACCAGTAAAAACTGTTTTACCTGGCTAATAATGTAAAATACTATTACCTGTCACGAAACGCGTTACGCAGCAACACCACGATTCCGAAGAAGGAGTGGTGTTGCTGGTAACGCATTGAGTGTCAGGTAAAAGTATTAGGTAATCCTGAAACATCGAGTGGTATTCAAAAGGTTATACAACGAACTAAACTTCAATACTTTATTAATTTTTATTATTATCAATAACAATATTGCCACCAAGCGCGATAATCCCAAAAGGCTTATCACTTATTAAGCCTCTCGTGTCATATGGGAATAATGTATGTACAGTGAGTTGTATAATCAATACAATAAAACCTCAGCAATAGGAAGAGTACTTTGAAAAATTACTGACAGAACAGTGAGCAGAGTTTGAAGAAGAAAGGGAACAGAGACGAAACATAAAAACTGCAGGATCACCTATAAGAGTTATACAAGAAGTAGGTAGGGCACCAAGCCCAGAGGAGAAATATATGGAGAACTGATAAAGTTTGGGACCAATAAACTCTACAAACATTTAACAAAACTATTTCAAACATGCATAGATAAACATGAAGTACCGGAAGAGTGGAAAATAGGCTATTTAACAACGATATATAAGAAAGGAGATAGAAGCAAATGCGAGAACCACTGAGGAATTGCAGTAACAAACACACTGACCAGAGTGAACGGAAAACTCATAAAAGCCAGAATAGAGAACGAATACAAAGATAGTGAGGCAGAGAAAAGGCCGGTTTTAGAGCAGGAAGATCAACTGTAGACCATGTATCTAGTTTGACCCAGGTAATCGAAAGGAAACTAGCGTATAACCAAGAACTCCATTTACTCTTTGTAGATCTAAAGAAACCATATATGACAATGTTCCGCTGAAAAAGCTTTGGGAAGCACTGGAAAAGACCAATATCAATTTAGAACTAATCAAGGCAGTAAAAACACTTTATAGTGATTCAAGACTAAGATTAAACAGGGAAACATGATCAGTAAAGGCTTTATAGCAACTAAAGGACTTAAACAGGGATGTTGCATATGACCAACACTTTTCAAAATATACTCAGAACAAGCGCTTAAGGGATGGAAAAACAAATGCAGACACATGGAAATACCGCTCAATGAATACAATCTATATACTTTAAGCTTTGCAGATGACCAAGTAGTAATTGCACAGGACTATGATGACCTAGAGTACATGACACGAAAACTGATAGAGGAATACGAGAAATGGGGTTTGGAAGTAAATTTAACTAAAACAGAATATATGACTATAGGAGGCGAACAGCAATTTCTCAAATTGAATGACAAGAAATAAAACAATGTACTGAATACAAATATTTGGGCATGAAAATATCACATGAGGGAACCCTAGACGAAGCAATTAAAGATCCGAATATACAAGGATGCAAGGCAATATCCTTACTAAATGGTGTACTGTGGGACCAAAATATCAACAAAACTAACAAAACTAGAATATACAACACCATAGTCACATATAGCTCAGAAGTCTGGCCACTAAAGAACAGAACCGCAAAAATGCTGGAAGCAACTGAAATGGACTTTTGGAGGAGATCGGCAGGCAGGTCAAAAATGGAAAGGATAACAAATCTGACAATAAGGGAGATTATGGAAGAAAAACACACAATAGTAGATGATATAAAGGACAAACAGCTGATTTGGTTACAAAGAATGGCAGATACAAGGATACCTAAGCAAATTATTGAGTGGAAGCCAGGGGGAAGAAGAAGACACGGCAGACCAAGAAGAAGCTGGAGAAGTGGAGTGGACGAAGAAATGAGATACAGAGGCTTAGAGGAGGATGCCTGGATTAGAGATTGAAGTTTACCGGTAATTTTCATTTGTTCTTTCTCAGTGGTAATTTACCGGTAATTTTTCGGTAATTTTGGAAATATTTCATAAAACAAACAATTATGGCCATATACTACATATACGTTCAAAGATTATATACTTTCAGGATTTTTTACCTAAACAATCATTTATCATAATAGTGTTTGTTATAAAATCTAAGCTCATAGAAATACTGCAATAAACAAATAATAATACTGGTAATAATACCTAATTCCTAGAACAAAAAACGAGCAAAGAAAATCAAACAAAAATAAAACAGAACTAAATTCTCCTAATTTCCTAATGAGATGGACAAAAACACTTGTGGAAAAACATTACACCTAACTCTTGTGGAAAATGTCTTTTCCACACTTGTAAGGTAAATAACTATTTGTTCATGCCAACCCAGCGCAATGCGCGTTATACAGATTCACAACTAGATGGCGATTAATGCATGAAAAGGATTGCGCCTAAATGTGATTTCATTCAGGAAGCCTTTCTGAAAATTACCGGTAAAGAAATTTGTCGGGTTAAATTACCAAAATTACCGTTACCGCGATAACGTTTCCACACTTTAATCTAGCCTGGATTGATAGAGATGGTTGGAGATCAAGAATCGGAAGACGTAGAACGTTATAAACCGATGATTCTATATATTCAACCAATGAAATTCGCTCTGACTGGTTTGTGATTTCTGCAGAAAAGGACCAACTATCTTTTAATGCTTGTAGTATTACTGAATAAAAAGTATAGGTACTTATGCCGGGTCCAGACCAAGCACAGAAAAAGTGAACACACGATTTCGAGACAAAAAAACAACAAAACTGCGATGAAAATCGGGTATCTTTTCAAAACAAGACAAAATAACCAATTGTCCATACCAAGAGGACAAAAGTGCAACAAAATTCCACTTGACGCGAATCAGTTTTTTAACCATTAATTGCTAGTGGCCAGTAGTTTTTATCTTCCTCTCCTCGTCTGCGCTTAAATTCGTGTGATTCCTACTGATTTGGTTTTCCACCAACTATCGAGACGCGACTTGCAAAAGTATCCGGATTAGGAAACAAAACCAAAATGTGGCAGAAATGTATTGAATTTGTCGTGACTTTGTCGCAAAACATGAATGTCTCTGTCTGTCCTGTCTTGCTGTTTTGTCTGCTTCGTCTGGAACTGGCATTAGATTATATAAATATATATAAAACATATACCTAGATAACTTTAGAAAGTAAAGCAGAATGATTTTTGATAGGGGTATAAAAAGCTGGATGGGTGTAAACTAGTACCTTTATAAAATAGGAAGTCCAAGGTGGTTCATTGCATTGCCTTAAATAATGAGTCAGAACTTCTGAGGATGTGGGCAATCCTACTTTAATCTTACTTTTGAATAAATTGACAAATTTTATCATTTCACAAAAATATCCGGTAAATAAATATTTCTTTTTTCACCAATTATTAAAAGTTTTGTTTACATAATCAGCTGATTATTTTCAAGTATCGCCATCCATCGAAAAACTTACCAACCTAATATAAAAATCTATAGTTGAAGGTATCTACAGTAATTGTAGCTGGGCAATGACGGCTGTATGTTGTTTTTGGGATTTATTTGAATAACAAAAAATGATAAATAAATGTTTCACAATCATTTATCATTTACAATATTTGTTTTTGTTATTCTCATTTGTGAACCACTTGTGACGTTTACTCCCACTATTAACCTAAAAAAAATAAGAAGTGTAGTGTAGTGTAGTGTCAAAAGTCAAGTCAAGCAAGGCAAGAAGTAGTATAATTTTAAAACATGGCTGACTTGAAGACTTCTTTGCTTGCTATGTGTAAAAAAACATAAATAGAAAAGTTTGTTACTTAAAATTATATAGTGTTTAATAACAAAAACCAACAATTTATTATTAAAAAATGTGAATATTTTGGAGGTCCTTAAAATCCTAAAATCAGGAGTTTTCTCTTGCACCCACCAATATTAGTGAACCTGCCTACTTTTGGTAAATTCTATGGGTTTTCACGATGAGAATAAGCAGTTAGTGTTTAATTTTTATTGAAAATTGCATTTAACTATTTGTAAACTAGATTTACAATGATGGAGAAAGAACAGGAACTACTGCTTCCAATTTCTTCTGGTGGTAAGTAATTTTTTTAGGGCAAGTTCCTTCATATGGCTAACACCAATAGACTACTAACACCTAATTTTAAATTGCATACCTTGAAATGTAGAGTATTTATCTCATCCTTAATTTTAAATAATACTGCGATCTTGACCTGGACAACATAGATTGTAACATTTTTAATTGGATCTATAATCTAATTCGTTTGTGTCAAGTAGAACACCTTCATTTTGTCCAATAACATAAAAATTATAAGCACCTTGTTCATTTATTCAGCTATTGCCATTGAGGGTTTATTGATTAAATATCAGTTAACATATAATTGTCATGGGTTTTATTTTATCTTTCCATATGGATTTTTGGGAGACTCAGAATGAAGTGAGCAGTAACCCTTTTTTTCTTCATACTCTGAATGCCCCTGGCATGCACATATTAATGGAAGGCTCCAATCATTAAAATGTCTTTCAGTCTCACAATGTATTGATTGAGGTCTCAAAAATTTAATCATAATAAGTAGGTATTTTAAATCAAGATCATTTAGACAATACCTTATCTTCAAAGCTACTTAAGATCAGAAAAAACATTCAAACAAGCCAAACTTGGATTTTTTTAAATGAAACACCCTGTATATTTTCAGCCAAGATTAAAGATCTTTTATTTACGACTAATGTATAATGTTAATGTAAGTATACTCCTGGACAAAATTATCGCACCACCACTGCACATAAGCACCATAAGCAGTAGAGGGAATAATGGTCATTATTCCTCTAAAGTGTCAGTGTCAAATGTGTGGACTTGTATTGAGATGGATGAAATTTGTTCATTAAAAATCTTGAATAAAATAATTTGTTGTAAATAAAGTAGAGTTTACTATTCGCAATAATGGCTATTATTGAGTCGTGGTATAATCTACTATTTTTATTTAGGTTTACACTTTTACTCGCACTTTTACTTTGATTAAAATTGCTTATTGAGGTACCATCGTCACCAAAAGTATCTGGGACAAAAATAATTCATATTAATCTCCTGGACTAGTTCTACCGTCATTCATTTCAATACATTTAATTCATAGTTTGACAAATATTTGACATTAAAAATCATATAATAGTACCAGAGCTAATATGATGCTGTCCCAGTTACTTTTGGTGACGATGGTACATTAGTTGAAGTACAGGGTGTCCCAAATTCAAGCCTCTTCATTGGATTCTCAGAAACGGTGAGAGATATGAAATCAGTTAAATTATGGCAAAGTTGCGCATTTTGATGCTTAACAAAATTCCGTTTTTAATTTGAGAAAATCCGAATACTTCTGAAAATTGCAATTCTGGTTTTTATTTTTTCCCTTGTTTTTTCCTAGACCTAATATATCTATACCTAATCTAATTTCTTGATTTCTTGCAAACTTTTTGTAGTTTTAAAATCAATCTTTCAATTACCCTAGCCACTGGCGTATCTATGATAGGGCAGTTCGGTGCAAATTTCCAAGGCATCCGAGACTTGTCATAATTTTAAATTTTTTTAAATATAACTGTGAATTGTACTGTTATTATGTATACTGAAAATATTGAATAAAAATTATTATTATTATTATTATAAATTTTGACCAGTTGATGAGTCGCAAAACTCAATGTTCTGGTATTTTCAATGGTTGCTAGGCTGGGAAAGTGATTGCTAAGGAATCAATGGATAACAGTATGGGAATTACTTTTCTGGCCTAGGTTGGGAAAGTGTGCTGATTTTTACGAACAACACAGAAGCATTCCTCATTTTTTCCATTAGTAATAGTAGTAGTAGCAGTACACATGTTTCACTAATGCTCTTAAACATACAGTCAGTAAGAAATAAAACTGATGAGTTATATGTATTCCTGGAAAACGAAAACCATCCCCATCTAGTTCTTCTAACTGAACACTGGCTCAAAGAGGGAGAACCCTTTTTCATCCCTAATTATTACATTTTGTCACAATTTTGTAGAACTTCCTCTAATAACGGTGGAACTACCATACTCGATAAGTTCTGAATTTTCCTCGGAATTTTCATCAAGGTCAGATTTTCATAACTGTGACAAATTTGACTTTTTAATATCTGAAAAAATGTTTGAATTTTCGTTGCTGTTCTCAAAAACTCTTGATGCGTACATTTTGTGCATTTATCGCACAGCAGATAGTAATGTCTCAAGTTTCATTGATAATTTTGAAATTCTTTTGTCAAGCATGCCATCGAATTCTAAAATAATAGTTGCAGGAGATCTAAATATTGACTTTGGGGATCCTGAAGCACATTCTACCATTGTTTTACTTAAACTCCTGGGATCATTTAATCTGAGAATGCACGTTAAGGAACCTACAAGAATCACAGAAACAACATCTACCATAATCGACTATATTTGCTCCAATCTTGATTCTGACCTTGAATGCCGTGTCGTTGACCCCGCCCTCTCTGATCATCATGCAGTTGTAACCTCATTGCCTCTAACATTCAAACATAACAGCTCTTACAGAAAACGTGGCAGAATATTCAGCAAAAAAAACTTTTCCATTTTTAAGCAGATCTCAACCAGGACACTTTGGCAACCCATTCTTTCTAAGGGAAATCCTCTTGAAGAATTTCATCTCGTTGTAAATAACTTAATAAGTGAATCTTTTCCTCTAAGGCCCCTTCGTAAAAAAAGGTATAAAAAGCACTGGTTGACAAAGGGCATCAAAGTATCTGCAGCTAACTTGAGGTCTCTTAATGTTATAAGAAAACACTACCCTAATACTCCTTTTATTCAACATTATTATTCCCAATACCGAAAACAATACAGAAAATTGATTCATCTGGCAAAGCAGTCTTTTTATTCTAATCGTCTAACCAAGGCCACAAATAAGTCCAAGGAAACTTGGAGCATTGTGAGAGAAGTTACAGGAAAAAGTAGCACAAAGCCACAGGAAATCGATATCAAACCCGATATACTAAACAACTTTTACTGCAATGTTGCCAATGAACTTACTTCATCCCTAAAATCGAATGTCGATCCGATTGGATATGTTGAAAGTTTGCGAGTCAATGAATCTTTTACATTTTCACCTACAGATGTTCAAGAAATAAAATCTACTTTTAAATCTTTGAAAAACCAAACCGCAGCAGGATCAGATGGCATTTCAATAAAGATTTTAAAAGAACTTCCCAATCAGGCCTTACATGTTCTAGCATCTGCAATTAACATCCCCTTCACTTCTGGCTCCTTCCCAACCACTCTGAAACAGGCATTGGTAGTCCCAATCCACAAGAACGGTGATACCAAAGATCCGTCAAATACCGACCAATATCTTTGCTCTCTACCATATCAAAGGTGATTGAAAAGCTCGTAAAAAAGCGCATAATAGACTTCTTATCTGAGCATAACATATTAAATCCCGCTCAATTTGGCTTCCTACCAAGGAAAGGCACCCATCATGCTATGTTTCATGTCATGGAAAAACTCTTTAGATATTTCAACGATGGCTTTGCCACAGCAGGAGCGTTCTGTGACTTCTCCAAGGCTTTCGACTGTGTGAGTCACGGGACGCTGCTCAGAAAGATGGAGGTCTATGGGTTCCGTGGAGAAGCTTTGGAATGGTTTAGATCATATTTGTCTGGTCGAAGCCAGCGTGTCACGGCAAACGGTGAATTCTCCTCTGAGCAGCAGATCAGCTATGGAGTCCCGCAAGGATCAGTCCTAGGACCAATCCTTTTTCTCATTTATATAAATGACTTACTACATCTGGAAATCTCGGGGGTGTTTGCTGTGTTTGCTGACGATGCAACGATTGTGTGGCATCGGAGGACGACTGCGGAGCTGGTCCCAATCATCTCAAGGGACATCAGTGCTACTAATGCATGGTGCGATGCAAATGGGCTTCTGCTCAACTTCACCAAAACCCAAGTAATTGGTTTTCGATGTAATATCGACCACATTGATTGTGAGCAGTTTACAGTTAAATCTTCGCAAAGCACCAAGTTTCTCGGCCTTCAGTTAGATGCCGATCTCAATTTTCGATCTCATATTATAGCACTTAATAAGAAGCTCGTGTCAGGCTGTTTCTGCGTTAGAATTGTTGCTGGAAACCTTAACATCCCGATCGCCAAATCCGTTTACTATGCAGTTGTCCACTCTCATCTTTCTTACGGTTCACCTTTTTGGGGCTGTTGCTCCAGGTACCTCTTCGAGTCAGTCTTCAGAATTCAAAAACGTGCAGTTCGATTTATTGCTGGTGCATCGCCGCGAGACCACTGTAAACCTTTATTTGTTTCTTACAATATTTTAACTCTTCCGTCTCTCTTTGTCCTGGAATCGGTCACTCTTGTTCACAAACACAAATCTCTTTTTCCTGCACATCAGAGCTCTCATAGTACACGTCAAAGACATGCTATACCACTTCCAATTCCACATTCTACGCTTGTTAAAAACTCTATTATTTATACTGCCATAATAGTACATTAAAATACAAGTTTCATAAGACGTCTCGCCCTTTAGAAAACTCGCCTCCGGCTCGTTTTCTAATATAGGGCTCGTGCGATAAAATGTCTTATGAAACCAATATTTTATACTATTTTTTCTATTTTGGTATTGTTTAATTTAAGAAAAACAAATTTTTCTTGGAAATTTTATTCTCATATTTTCTGATTTCATAGTTTAGGTTGGTAACACTACATGCCAAATATAGAAATCTTCTATTATAAAATAGCGAATGACAGTTCGATGGCCATCAGTCAGTCAGTGTCACCAACCTCCGATAAGTAAAAAAGGAGTGTCACAAAGAGCTTCTTTTCGAAATTACTTTTAGTGTCGAAAAGACTGCGATATGACACCAAAATAGAAAATAGCTATTTATACAATAAGTTACGAAATGAGCGTCTTTTAGGCACGCGACGTGAAAATTGTCCAACGAGGCAAAGCCGAGTTGGACAACACGTCGAGTGACTAAAAGACATCGTTTCGAAACGTATTGTATACAAGATTTTTTCTACTGGCATTTTATAATAAAAAAACACAA